ATATATATAAATTTAAATTTATTTATTAATTGTTTTTGCCATTGAGATTTGGCATAGTTCACTTAGTTTTTAGTTGTATTCACATAATATGAAAATTTTAATATGAAAATTTTATTATTTTTTTTTTTTTTGTTTATACGATTTTTAAAATTCACTTTATATTCATTTAAATATATATAAATTTAAATTTATTTATTAATGCTTAGTTTTCACTTAGTTTTTCTTAATTGTTTTTTTTATTAATGGTCCTTGCCAACGAGATTTGGCAGGATCGCCATGTAAAGAAATAGTTATACAAAAGAAAGACGCGTCGTTTTGAGTGTCCAAAATAAGACTGATTTTTATTAATTTTTATTCTTAAGTCTAACATTGTTTCTTAATACTAATTTCCAATAGAATCTTATGTATTGATTCTATTGGTTATTACTTATCATACTTGCGTCTAATTGGTTAACCCAAATTAGACGTATATACTATTCTTACAAACATAACTTATCAATAAATGGTGTACTATTAACAAATGCAATTGTTCCACATATGGTTTCACTTGAAACCGTTTATTCTATTGACACAGTTTTGACTTATGCATATTGCACATATGGTGCAATGTGCGGCTCAGTTATTTGTCATCAAAGTAATGACAAAATAAAGGCTCATATTACTTGACAATAGTTTGTCATAAATTTTATCAAAATAGAACTGTGTCAATGTTTACTCTAAAATAAGTGGAACAATTGAATGTTTTGTGATATGTGTGGTCTCATACCCATATCACATTACACTGCTGTATATAATTAAAAAAAAACTATTATATCCATGAGTTATGATTGTTTTATTAATAAACATTTTTTTGACCTTATAATCTCAATATCTTAATAGTATAGTATAGTATCATCTTAATAGTATATTATAGTAATAAGTTCTTGTCTAATGACTATGCACATTCATATGTATTTGTATATGTAAATAGGTCTTTTGTCCGCGTTAGCGAAACCTAATCGGTTAATATATGCACCGCTGTTTTTCATGATTTGTGTGCCCTACAAACAAATTTTACGAATAAATTATTCCTCGGACTTATTAAAGCGGTTTCCACGTATATGTGGCGGCCATATAACATTCTTGTACATGAACGAACGTCCAAATGAATAAAACGAACGTTGCAGTTAGAAGGAGAAAAAGTATGTACGGAATAGGCGACAAGTGAACATATTAATTTTAGTGTAACTTAGTAAATGTTGTAATAAATGTTTTAAGTTTTTAAAAACACACACAAGCGTTTCATTTAACACACCTTTACACATATAAATATTCTCTAAAGCTTAAAAGTATAAGTAGGTAGTAGTAAACTCAAATATTTTTGTTCTCACGTTAGGTTAAGTTAGTGTTACACAGAATCACATTAGTCCTCCTCAAAAATTTTCTCTCATCGCACAATTAAAAATGATTTTAAGTCGGCGTTATTTACTGACCTCCTCTAGTTCACTATCTTCACAACAGTCCTGATCTTTTTTTTGCATTTACTACTCTGCCACCATTACCAGTCATTGCCTTCGATGTACCTCGCTCCAACTAGTCTATACAAGGTCCTCGATTTCTGTCCTTTGTTTTTGATGGTATGTCTGACTATCAAGTATTAACCCCCACTCTTCGTGAGTACGTGTTAGCTGTTAACTGTATTGATTAAGAATACATTTTATTTAATTTTCAATTTAATATTAAATGATTAAGAATACATTTTATTTAATTTTCAAGTTTTACAATTGTAATAAATAAAAGAACCCTTATGCACACACCGAACTACTACGAATAACAGCCAAGCAAAAAGTGTCTCTAGAAAAGGGTGGTGTTTCTATGCATTTCGCTTTTTTTGAACAAATGTTCAAAAAGGTGCAATCCCAATGTACTGTGTATTTGGTTCACGAACATCCCGGGCGACCCTGAAACAGCGTTTCAGAATTTAGGTAAAACAACAACCTTCGTAATGGGTCGCGTTATCTTCCCATGGACAGTGTGAAGTTTTACGACTCGAACGAGCCCATCTGAACCAGGATGTATTTCAGTTACCTTAGCCATGAGCCACTTTGCTGGTGGTATGTTCGATTCCTTAATGATCACTATGTTGCCCACAGCTATATTGGGTTGCCGTCGAAACCATTTTGGACGGTTTTTTAGAGATGTTAAGTATTCCTGATGCCATGTACGCCATCCCTGAAGCATATTTTGTATGTGCTGCCAGTAGTCTAATTTGTTGACGTTTACATGACTTAGATCGCTTTCTGGAACCAACGTATACGGGCGACCAATCAAAAAATGAGAAGGAGAAAGATAATTAGTATCCGAGTCTGATGTAGCGCCTAAAGGGCGAGAATTCACAACTGCTTCAATCTGTGTCAGCAAAGTATTTATCACCTCAAACGTAAGCATTCCATTGCCTATTACGCGCCTTAAATGTAACTTGAATGATCGCACTGGCGATTCCCAGACTCCACCCCAATGTGGTGCGTGTGGTGGGATCGAATTCTGGAACTCTATCGAATTCTGTCTTCTGCGGAAATGATTTCGTTCCGACATAATAGCTGCATGCATCTCGTTTAACACACGAGAAGCACCAAGAAAGTTCCTTTCATTATCGCTAAAGATTGAAGAACACTTTCTACGACGGAACATTAAACGGCGAAGTGCTGCTAGAAAACAATTAGTATGTGGCGGTTGCATATTCACTATTTAATATTGAAAATAATATGAGTTGGTCATTCAAACATGAACAAATAAAATATTGAAAATGAGATGAGTTGGCCAGGCAGAAAATTTGTAAAAAGCTAAGAATATTTTTATTTAGGAAAAATGATTGTCATTCGATTGCCATTCGTACACGTATAATTATTTTACTCGAAATCGAATTATTTTAATTAAACAAATAAACAATTGAATTAAGTAGGGCAGAGCCTGCAATTGGTGACCCCGACGTGATAAAAAATGATCCAAGTCGAAACAAGCAACAATAGCGCACCGGATAGAAACAACACGCCTGCAGATAGTAACGTACGAAATGTTTACAGAAACGAACAACTTCAAGGTGACATTTGCCGTATCGGTATTAAGGCACCAGCATTCTACAAGAGGGATCCAGAACTGTACTTTATCCAGATGGAATCCCAATTCCGAAATGCAGGAATCACAACAGACCAAACCAAATATGATCATGTAGTCGGAAGTCTCGATAGCGCCACTTTAAGAAATATCGCAGACATCGTTCGTGCTCCCCTTGCAGTAGAAAAATACAAAACGATTAAGAAGCGGTTAATTCAAGATTTTGCATACTCCGAAAATCGAAAACTGCGGCGACTAGTACAGGAGTGCCAGTTAGGTGATAGCAAGCCAACACATTAGTTACGCACCATGCGAGATCTAGCCAGCGGCGCCATGAATGATGGAGCAATAAAACAATTGTGGCTGGATCGTTTATTAGAAGCAATGCGAGCAGTCGTTTCAATTTCTGAGGCTGACTTGGACAAATGTCTACACAAAATAATGACCATATCATGGAAGCCATAGACGCTTTGAGTATGCAGGTTGCGAAGATAAAAACTGCACAAAGACGAAGCAGAACGAGATATCAAACTTCAGATCGCAAGCGACGTCGTTCGCTCCATACTGATTCGAAAGTAAGACGTTATCCTATGTGTTACTATCAATATCGTTTTGGTGCGGAAGTTAAAAAATGTTCCTTGCCGTGTAGTTTCAATCAACAGGGAAACAAGTAGAGACTTCATCGGTGGCGGTCTTTTCCATTCAGAACGACCACAAATTCAAGGAGCTACTAAACGCATATAAAGAGGTGACAATGACTGCAAGCAGCCAAGCAGGAGTTCGAATATATGATGAAGCAAGGAATTTGTAGATTTATTTATTTATTTATTTATTTATTTATTTATTTAAATGCATTAAAGGACAACCCTTTTCATTGCAGTATCTTAAAGCTAATTTAAAGAATTAAAATAAAAATAAAAAATACAATAAAATAAAATAAAAGAAGTAATTAAAGTTTACAGAGAATATAGTAATAACATATGTACGTAAAAAGTATTAAAATTATAATTACTGATTAACAGCGGAACAAAAAAGAAAACAGCATGAAATATTTAAATAACAGAATTTAAGTTAATAACAAACAAATTACAATAAACTTAATTATATAACAGCAAAAAACAACCAAAACAATGAATAAAAAAAAAAATTAATAAAGACAAATAAACGTGACGTTAACACAATTCGTTTTTTAACAGTTTCTTAAAAACACTCGGGTTATCTGCATTTCTGGTTGTGCTTGAAAGAGCATTCCATATTCTAACAGACTGAATAAAGAAAAACTTAGTAGTGGAGGCAAAACTAAATCTGGGAATGATGAAAAGACGAGATCTGTTAGATCTAGTTAGCTGCAAGCAATCAAAAAGATACTTCGGAGTAGTAGTGGATAAAAGTCTGAACAAAAATAAGCATACTCGAAACTGCATGTATTGTTCAATATCACACCCTAGAATCACATTTCTATAAATACCTAAGTGATCAAAGCGTCTAAAACCAAAATCATATCGCGTGCAGCAGTTTACTAGGCTTCGTAACTTATTGAGAGATTCAACATCAAGTTTTGAGTACACTAAAGAGGAGTACATAACAATAGAAATAATTAGTTGTTTTACCAACAAAACACGCATATCAACAGGTGTATACTTCACAGAAAGGTTCAGACCTCTTAAACATGCAAAAGATTTTCTAATAAATTGGTGAACATGTTCGCCAGCATGCAGATTAGTGTTCAAATGAAAACCCAGACATTTTGCCGAATTAGTATATTTAATAATTGAGTTGCCAAGTGTTACAGATGGTAAGAAATCAACATTAATATTTAGCATAGCAATTGGTAGAATTGAAGACTTGTTTATATTAAGGAACATATTATTTTGCTTAGCCCATACCACTATATATGATAAATCTACATTAGTCATTTGCACGAGGTCATTAATATCAGAAATCCGACAAGAGAGATACATTATAATATCATCTGCATACGCATGCAATTTAGCATACTTACATATTGAAAAAATATCATCAATATAAATTGAAAATAAAAGAGGTCCTAGTACAGAGCCTTGAGGTACCCCAGTAAATAAAGGTTTGAAATTAGAAAAAGCATTCTCTACGAGTACAGCCTGTTCCCTTCCAGTTAAGTAGCTATAAATAAATTCAGAGGCCGACTTAGAAAAATAAAAGGAATGAAAAAGCTTTTTACATAATAGAGAATGGTCAACACAGTCAAAAGCTTTGGTAAAGTCAAGCAGACATAAAAATGTTACTAAGTTTTGATCATAGCTACATCGAATATCTTCGAGGACCTTAAGCATTGCCGTCGTGCAACTATGACTTTTTTAAACCCAGACTGGAGAGGAGAGAGAAGTTTAAAACAGTTAAGATGAGTACGTATTTGATCAGCCATAATGTTCTCACACACTTTAGAGAGTGAAGGGAGAATACTGATTGGGCGATAATCGGTGCATGAGGATGCATTAGCCTTTTTTTCAATTGGAATAATCTTAGCTCTTTTCCAAACAGTAGGAAAACATGATGTAGTGAAACAGTGGTTAATAATGTGCGTCAAAGGAGTAATAATAAACGGCAGTATAAGTTTAATAAATTTATGCGGAATTTCATCTATTCCAATAGCGTTTGACTTAATTTTCATGACATTATTAAAGACAGTTTCTTCACTAACACATATAAAGTCAAAACTGCGTTCGGAGGGAACACTCTCAAGTTCAGGGAAGACCGGAGCAACGTTCAATCTATCTCCTATAGGAACAAAGAAATCATTTAAAATGTTAGGATCAATGCTACATACATTACTTGAGCTACTAACCACCCCTAGAGCTTTGATGTTGCTCCAAAGTGATTTTGTAGGTAATGAGGTATCTAGTTTAGATTTAATGAACCTAGATTTAGCAAGATAAATAGCCATTCGAGTCAAATTTCGAGCTGCTTTAAACCGCATCCAATTAAAAACATTCGGATATCTTTTCCACACTGCACACTTTCTATTTCTCTTGTTTATCATACGTTTGATGTCAGTACTGAACCATGGACATGAAGAATTCTTAACATGTATAGTACGATACGGAATATACTGATGCAAATAAGTAATAATTATATTGTTTAAAACTGTCAATTTGTCATCAACTGAAGCACCAAACCAGCAATTACTCCAGTCAACAGTGCTAAGATCACTACATAATAACTGAGTATCAGCTGATTTAAAATCCCAGAAAGAAAATTGAGAGGAATTGACATTTCTCGTTACACAATAATCTAAGGTAGTAAATAATAAATCATGATCGGAAACAAACGAAATCTGATTAAATAACAACACTTTGGTCAGATCAGACACGATCACTAAGTCGAAGAGACTTAGGCGTACATTATTACTATATCTAGTAGGCACGGTATTATTCACAATGCTTAAACCAACCATAGCTATAAGGCCATTCAGTGCAGACACTTTAGCATTGCTCAAAAGAATATCAATATTAAAATCGCCAAATATGGCAATAAAATCAAAATTGACAGCAATAGGAAGGAGGGCTTCAAAAAGAGGACCACTACAGTACATTTTGCTGGGGTTATACAAGGTAAGATGAAAAAACTGCAACCAACTTCAGACTGCTGTCATTTCTAAACCGCTCGTCCCACAGCTGTCAGATTTATTCTAGTGACAGCTCATTATATTGTTTACAAGCGCACAAAAGCATTTTGGTGGGAATTTTTCAAAAAAAAAGTTATTTGTGATGGAATTCAAGCGTGATAGTGTGATTGCTTTGCATTTGGCTGGAAAACCACAAGTGGCTATCGTTAGAGCCCTCCAGCATTTAGAAGTGAATAAATGTTTTGTGTCTCGTACCATCGCTCGTTACCATGATACTGGTAGCGTAGCCCGACGTCAAGGAAGTGGACGAAAAAAAACAGCAACATCGGCAGAAATGGTTCGAAAAGTGAAAAAGCGAATTGAACGAAATCCGCGTCGCAGTGGACGAAAAATGGCTCGTGAGCTGAACATATCGCAATATGCCATTCGGCAAATATTGAAAAATGAGCTTGGACTAAAGCCATTCAAGTTCCAAAAAGTGCAAGATCTTACTGATGCGCAAAAAAAAGTTAGACTCGAAAAAGCTAAAGAGTTGTTTCGCTTGGCCGAAAGTGGTGAACTGCCGAATTTGGTTTTCTCCGATGAGAAACCATTCGTTATCCAGCAGTTTGTAAACAAACAAAATGATCGTGTTTACTTGCCAGAGAGGTCAGCTGAAAATTTGCAACTTCGGTTGGCCATCACAACTCAAAAGCCGGCCATGGTGATGGTGTGGGCCGCCATAACAGCCGATGGTCGCTCGCCGCTCGTATTCATCGACCGTGGTGTCAAATTAAATGCGCAAATCTATCGCGAAAATATTTTGGAGGGAGTTCTGAAGCCCTGGGCACGCAAACATTTCGGCCGCAGACCTTGGACATTCCAACAGGACTCAGCACCATCGCACTCAGCACGCGCCATCCAAGAATGGTTAAGAAATGAGGTTCCTCGCTTCATTTCCACCGCACAATGGCCACCAAAATCTCCGGATGCCAATCCGTTGGACTATTGTGCCTGGGGTATTTTGGAAAGCAAGGTTGGA